AGTTTTTGATTCTGCGATTTTAAAGACCGTGAAATGACTATGCATAAGACATTTTAACTGGCCATTTATTAATGCGGCCTATAAAGTTCACATGGTCCACAGCATTTTTAAAATTTAATTAGCGGTTTATGACGTTTACGCATTAGCCTAGCTAAATGCGTGACTTTTCATGTTTTTTTCAGGAACAAGGGGTAGTCGGAAGCACTATGTAAATGCTTAAACTTGCTCCCCCCATGGCTCTATTTTAATTAGGGGTGACAGATTTGAATAATTTGGTGGCGCATTTCATGAGGCAAGGCATCGCCCTGACTCGGGCTCAGACCGCGATAACGAAATGCTGTTCTATGATTGGTAGGATGCAGTAGCCAATCACTGCAAGCGTCCTCAGGTCTGCCGCATCAGAATGCGCGTGCTGGCTTGACGCATCGCCTCTAAAAGCCAGGTGCGTTAGCAGCAGCGACAATCCTAGCTGCGGATAATTGTGCAAGCGACTTCTGTTGTGCTTTTCATTTGCTCTCTAATAGAATCATGTTCCATTAAATGTGTGTACTGTTATTCGCCACCGTGTTGTAGGCGCTGGGGTACCTTGGTTGCGGGAATTGAGTCCTCTGTGTTTGAATGTAGTACAGGTCAACAATTGAAGTTTAGCAATTAAAGGGTTCGTGAAACATTTCGAGTCGTAGCTACTCGATGCCGCTCGCTTTTCATGTTTACACGTTTTTTACTAACGCCATTAGCCCCCAGTATGGTGGGACAACTATACTGAGATGGAGTTGCAATAATTCCCATCAGACAATTCAGAAGAGTGGTTGGCGAGCATATGTTGTCTTTAGATAAGACCTCATCAGTCCATTACATTATATGAATGACTTACTTATATGACGGAGCCTTGAAATTGAATCAGCTGAGGCGTTCCGCTACTGGGCAAAAAGTTAATCATACTTTAACTAAACACCAACTAACAGAATTCCCTTATATTGCGCTGTAATTCTGAACATATTGACTGCCCAGCACCTTATGATCCTTTTATTTGAGCAATTCAAAAAGATCGACAAACTTGGCCTAAATAAAGGTAACTATATTGGCGGATATTTAAGAACATGCTCTTCAGTCGCTGAACTTCCCAGCTCAGCTTTTGACTACGTAGCATGGACACCACTTAATTTTCAAAACAGCCCTTCCTTGTGTTTCATGGCTCATTTAAAAGTAAATATAGGTTGCAGTATACTCGTAGCTCCTCGCTTTACCTTGGCCTTATTCAATTGTGCTTTTCTGTACCAAATAGCTTTGTTTAAGCACATTCATGGTGAAGCTGAATGAGACAGAATAAACGAAGAGTTTTTTAGAAAGGCAAGAGAAAGAAATCTGAGGTCTTGTCTAGGGTCTGATACATTTATATTTTCGACATTTATTTACATCTATTGTTCAGCTGTATGACTTGTATTTGATAATCTATAAGATTTTCGACCTTACCTTTGCATACTCTGGGTTACTAGAAGCTTTGTTTTCAGTTTTCTGAAGCCTTTTCATGTGATTAATGGTTTTTGCAGACGTTTTGGCTTAGCGGTTGTCGATAATTTCGTCAAGGTCAGTAAGTCGAATTGTTAGTTTTTTTAACAAATTAAAAAATTTGGTTAGCGGCTGTCTGTAGTCGCTAAATGCTGTATTCACAACTTTTAGTACTCTTAAACCAAGCAATGTTATATACTTCCAGTATTAAATGCTGGTTAAGGGGAAGAATAGTCCACATATGAGCAAAGTTTTGAAGAACTAATCAGACAACCGTAGAGGTCGCGTTTATGGCCGATAATACCCGCTTTCATGCTTCAATCCGTTGCGGTCAGGAATGAGTGATCTACTATAACCATAAACACTAAGAATATTCCGTCTGATGGAAAAAGGAAGTCAGACGTTAGGAGCGATTTATTGGGTACACAAGACAAGTTGCCGTGGATTGGCTGTTTGCTTGTGAGTGAACAATGCGATCGCCTGGGAGCTAGTGGGCAACGAAGTGTTGTGTGCGGGGTTTTCATTTGTCGTGTCCACTCGCGGGAGTGCGTTTTGGGCGTATGCTTGATCAGGTCAAAAGGAACAGTCAGAATAGCATGCACAC